AATAAATTTTCCCAGATGCTTTCATTTTATAGTAAATTTCATCGATATTTTTGACAAGTCTAGTTAGGATATAACATTTGCAACAACATATAAGGCATGGGGGCCTCAATATTTTTTTATCTTATTTTTTATTTTTTCCGTTTAGAACCCGAAAAATATATAATAAAAAACAAGATAACGCAGCATTCGGTTTTTTTATTTGAAATGTCAAAAAGCTAGAATCATTGACGTAAGTTGATATCTAGATTTGTGCTACAACTTGTAAATCAAATACTAACGTTTAATAATATTAATTATTGTTTATTTATTATCATTATATTAACGACATCATTTAATTTGGAATTTTGGCCTCCTCTGTTAACAGAGTAGCAAAGGTCACTCGATATTTCGCAAAATCAATCACCACTAAAAAAAAGGCATAGCCAAGGGGTTGAAACTTCTCTACAATCTGTTTTTATATTAAGGTTAAACTTAAATTTCTTTAAATATCTAAGTCAATTTATTAAATTTTGGTTAAAAATTGTTGCTTCCAGTTTATGAAACTGCAATGGTCTCTAAAAATTGATTGAAAAATGCAATCTTGGATACACAAATAATGAACAAAAATTGTAAAATCACTTTCTAAGAAAATATTTTACAATTATATAGAAATCTTGCCTAACTTCTTTTCAAAATATAAACGTTAATAATTTTTACTTTATCGATTAAATTTTAAGAATTTAAATTTGTATAATTATTTGACTAAAACAATTTACGATTAAATTGTTCATAATAAATACGGATTAAAATAAAATTATTTGTAACACTAACAGTCACACAATACCGCAGAAATTATCAATATTTAGGTAAGACCAGGTTGTTTCAATTCATTTTTATTAATAATAAGATAAACATTCTTAATCATTCAATGGTGAAATCAAAAAACTTTAAGAATTATTAATAAAAATATTCAATATGGAATGCCGACGAATTTGGTTCATTAGTTGAAATAGTTGTAGATGTTGTCTGTGATTTTGACGTCATATCCATTGTTGCAGTTGCAGTCGTTGATGTAATGGTTGATGCTATTGTTAATGATGTTGGTTAGTTTGAGGTAGGTTGTATGTGTGTTGCGGCAAACGTTGTGTTTGCGATTGGATTGTTGATGTGGCTTGAAATTGCTGTTGTTGAAGTTGTTGTAGTTGCTGAAAATGGTGTTGTTGAAGTTGTTGTTGCGGAAGATGCTGTTGCTGAAGCTGTTGTTGAAACTGCTGATGTTGAATCTGAGATTGTTGAAGCTGCGGTTGCTGAAGTTGCTGTTGTGTAGATTGGAGTTGTTGTGGCTGTAATCTTTGCTGTTTATTTGGAACATTTTTGGGTTGCAGATATAAGATCTGTCTTGTTGGCTGTTGTTGCGGAAGTTGCTGTTGTTGAAGCTGCTGTTGTTGAAGCTGCTGTTGAAAAACATGTTGCTGTTGAACCGGTTGTTGTTGAAGCTGTTGTTGTTGAATCTTTTGTTGTTGCTGTTGTTGAATCTTTTGTTGTTGAATCTTTTGTTGTTGCAGCTGCTGTTGCAAAAGTTGTTGTTGTTGATGCTGCTTGTGCTGGAATTGCTGCTGCGGAATTAGGTAAAGCTGCTGTGGTTGAAGCTGCTGTGGTTGAAGCTGCTGTGGTTGAAGCTGCTGTGGTTGAAGCTGCTTTTGTTGAAGTTGCTGTTGTTGAAGCTGCTGTTGTGTAAATTGGAGTTGTTGTGTAAATTGGAGTTGTTGTGGCTGTAGGTTTTGTTGTGAATTTGGAGTATTTTTGAGTCGCATATAAAAGATCGGTTTTGTTGATTGTTGTTGCTCCTGTTGTTGAAGTTGCTGTTGCTGAAGTTGCTGTTGCTGAAGCTGTTGTTGTTGAAGCAGTTGTTGTTGAAGCTGTTGTTGTTGAAGCTGCTGTTGTTGTTGAAGCTGCTGTTGTTGTTGAAGCTGCTGTTGTTGTTGAAGCTGCTGTTGCTGAAGTTTCTGTGTTGGTTGGAGTTGTAAATATATGTTTTGCTGTGTATTTGGAGCAGTTTTGCGTTGCAGATATATGACCTGTCGTGGTGGTTGCTGTTGTTGCTGGGTTATGAAATTGTTTGTGGTTTGAGGCTGTGAATGTTGTTGATACATGTTCTCGGTTGGTTGTTGAAGCTGGTGTGATGGCTGAAGAATGTTTGGCGTGTTTAGTAACTGTTGCTTGGCATTGAGATTTTGTGTTGGTGTAGGTTGTTTTCGCTTCAATGTTTGAATGTTTTTTGTGCTTGGAGTTTCTTGTTGTGATGTGTCCATGTTTTGGATTGGTTGTTGTTGTGGTTGAAGATTGAGTGTTATCAGTTGAGAGTGTTGCTTAGGTTTGGATGTTATTGCGTATTGTAAGGTTTGTTGTGATGAGACGTATGTAGTTTGTGTTTGTTGTTGTTGATGCTGCTGAGGTCGTTGTAGCTGTTGTAATCTTGATTCTTGCTTTGAATCATCAGTTATTACTTCTATTATATCATCCAGCAAATTACTTGCTGTGCATGGTTTTTCAATTTTTAGCTTGGTTTGTTGTGTTTGGTAGCGGATAAGTGTTTGCTGAAGCCGTGGTTGTTCTTTTTCTGCCTCCACTTTCTGCTGTTGTTGTGGCTGTTGATTTTTTTGTTGCTGTAGTTGTAGTTGTTGTTGCTGTTGTATATGTGCTTGTTTGTGTTGTTGTTGAGTTTGTTGTTGTTGTGAATTTTTTCCTGGCTGGTTATCACAGTTCGTCCACGTTTCCAGCATATTTTCTTCTTTATCCTTCACTCTTCCTTGTTGAAGTTGCTCTTGTTGAAGTTGTTGTTCTTGTTTTTGAGTTTGTTCGTTATATTGTTTGTGTTGTGGTTGTTGAATTTGTTGTTGTTGTCCTGGCTGGTCATCATATTTCATCAACTCATCCAGCATATCGTCTAACCAACAAGCATCTTCTTTTTTATCCTCGACTCTGTCTTGTTGAAGTTGTTGCTCTTGTTGAAGTTGATGCTGCACATGTTCGTTATGTTGTTTGTGTTGTGGCTGTTGAGCTTGTTGTTTGGCTGACGGGATATCATAATTTGTCAAATGGATATCATAAATCGTCAATGCTTCCGGTAAATCGTCGAACCACGAAAAGTTTTTTTCTTGTAGTTGTTGTAGTTGAAACTGTTCTTGCTGTTCTTGTTCATGGTGTTGTTCGTGTTGTGGTTGTTCGCTTGGCTGGAAACAATAATTTAATTCTTCCGGTAAATCTTTTATCCACGAAAAATCTTCTTTTTTGTCTTTCTCTCTGTTTTGTTGAAGTTGTTGTTGTTGTAGTTTTTGTTGTGCATGTTTGTTATGTTGTTCGTGTTGTGGCTGTTGAGTTTGTTGTTCTTCTTTAGCTGACTGAATATCATAATTCGTCAACGATTCCGAATTGTCGAACCACGAAAAATTTTCTACTTTAGCCTTCTCTTGTAGAAGTTGTTGTTGTAGTTGAAACTGTTGTTGCTGTTGTATATTTGCTTGTTTGTGTTGTGGTTGATGAGTTTGTTGCTGTTTTTGTGAATGTTGTTCTGGCAAATCGTCTAACCATGATTCAGGCTTCATCCTCTTGTTACCCGGTTTATGTTTCAATACGCCCTTGTTTCTGTTCTGTTGTTGGATGACGACGGATAAATCTAATGATTTATCCGTCGTTTTGATAGCTTTCTTGCTGTCCTTATTAACAATGTTATTGGTATCATTCCTCTCGTGATCCTCCTCACGGTTTTTGTTTGCGAGATAAATGTTTAAGACATTTTCCGCAAAATTGTCTAAATCGACGAGATTTTCAAATGATTCTCCCGTTTTATTATGAACCTTTTCTTCTTCCTTTCTTTTTTTATCTTCTTTTCTTTTTCTTTCATCTTCTTCTTTTTTTCTTTCATCTTCTTCTTTTTTTCTTTCATCTTCTTCTTTTTTATTCTCCTTCTCTTCATTCTTTTTCTTAAAGGCAAGAAATACATTCATAACATTGTCCGCAACATCGTTGAGGTCGAAATCATTTTCAAATGAATTTGCCATAGTTTTTTTTAATTTCACACCAATTGATAGTAGGAAGAAGATTTCAAAACTAATTGAGATTAGAATACGTTTGTTACTACCGTCTTATATAGGCTGACTTGAAACAAACTTGTTCCATGCACACAGCAAAGTTGATTTGTAACACAGAACATTCACGTACAAAGTTAATTTATAACACTAAATTATTTTACGATAACATTCACTTTGAAATTTTTCGTGTTAGATTTTGTTTCTTATCTATGGTATTTTTAATTTCATTACAAGTTTAGTTTGATATCAATGCAATAGCAATCGTAAAATAATTTTCAGTTTGATTGAAAAGTCCATAAAAAATTTGTTTCAAATCAACTGACCGAATAATCAATCATTTAAATAACCAATCAAACTATCAACCGATGGACGTTGAATTATGTAATTTGGAATTACTTTTTTCAATTTTAATGAAAATTTTGCAATTTCCTATGTAAGCTAAGCGTTAGCTACCGTGTTTTCGAAACAAAGAGCAATATTTTCATTTAAATTGACAAAAATAATTTCAAATTACATAATTCAATTTAATAACAATGTTTTAAACAATGAGTCAAATTTATATTTAGTATTAGTTGTTTGTTGAAACCAATGCAATTTTGTAAGTAGGTGGCTCGATAAGCTCAGTATATTCTAAACATAAAGCTATATTTTTATTTAAATTGGTAAAGATGATTTTAAATTAAATAATTCGATTTAATTATATTGTTTAAGAAATATTTTTCAGTCAAGTAAATCTTTTGTATTAGTTGTTTGTTAAAACAGTTAAAATTTTGTAAGTAAGCCAACTAACTTTCTTTATTCAAATCTGCTGTAGTAATTGGTAGAAGCTGCTCGCTTGGCTTTATCACCCAGAGAGACTCAGCTATGGCCATTAAATACACATACCTTCTCACACACGTACACTTATGCAAACAAACGTAAAAACAAAATTTTTTAATCTAAAAATTTTGAAAAATTGAAAATTTAATTTTGCGGGTGGTTTTTTAAATAACGCACTTGAATCCGCATCTACGGCAAACCGCACAGACAAAATCCACAAACCACAAAATCCGCGGAGTTTTGAGAATTTTGAGGTAATCGCGATTAGAGACCGCATTGCGGTTACCCGCTTGGGGCTCTACCGCTCAGTCTTGGTTAGTTTCCGATGGCATCTATTTAGTCCTGACTTTTTCGCTTTTATGCAGAATGTAGTACCTTCTTTCTCTTTCCTTTTCCATGAATAAAAACTAGTTTGATATATTATTATTACAACTATTATTATTAATTATTTGTATAGCGCCTTTCATAACACTCAAAAGCGCTAACAACATAATATATCTGATTGCAAAACTTTTCATTATTGTGCTTACATCCCTGAATCAAAAAAATATTTGTCCACCTATCAAGAGAATTTTGCGTCCGTCATCACTCCGAAATATCCTGATTGGGATTGAAAAACACATTATTAACGAGTTTTACATTGCCCATAGATCAAAATGGACGAAAACCACAAATTTTTAAAACCGAGATTAATTCAAATACATGGAATGGACATTAATTATTATTTCAAATTTTTCATTTAAGTCGGAAACTCCTCTGTGCAGCTTACCGTTTGAAAGTTTATCCAATTTCAAAACTGATTTCATTTCCGCTTCAGTTTTTTTAAAAATGCTTTTAACGTCAATGGTGAAAACAAAAATTAGTTAGTTACTCGAAACTCACCTCCAGACCCTAGCAAAGTAATGGCAAAAGAAAACATGAGATTGATAGGAGAGAAGGACAAGTTCTCGTGTGGGTATAGCTACTTGTAAAGATTAATCCCAAACTCTGCGTAATTCCATTTCCTTCATTAACCTAACTCATGGTTTGGAAGATCATCGTTTTGTTCGACGACTCCATCCTACTATCCAGTAACCTATTAAGATGATTTGATTGCGAGCTCTCAACGTTTTTTGTGTTGTATGAAATCAGGTTTATTTGTGCATATTCAGGAGAGTAATCGTTTGAAAAACAAATTTGCAATGACATCTTGACTAAATCAATCAATCTTTTCAATAAATAAACAATAGCCTACTTCCATTTGTGTACCTACATTATATTGTACGAGAAATGCTGTAAAGTAGCAAGTTATTTTAATACGCCACTGTCGTCTGTATGTGGAGAACCCGTTTTTATTGAAATATGAATTCGAATGTTTTTGTAAACAGTAGTTAAAACCTCATTTCAAATGTGGAACATGATTATTGTTATTTTATCAACGATAAGTTAGCGTTGGTTGCAGCTTAAATACTTGAAATATGCATGTAGAAGACAGCAAGCTTTTATGTGTTGTTGGTTTTGGTTAACAGATCACACTCAGCCTGGCTTTTCGAATATTTGCAAAAAATTAGTTGATTTGATTTTAATCCAAAATTTTGAAAAAATCAAATATTATAATTTATCCTATACATACATACATGGTGACAATAAAAGTTTTTTGATACAGTTTTAGAGGCTCAATCCTATTTTACCTAAGATGATACTTGCCAATTTAAAAAAATTTTTTTTTTTCATTCAAGAAACTCGGAAATTAATAAAATTAACACTAACATTTTGTTATTCCCTTTACAATAACATTCAAAAACAAAAAGGTTAATACGTTTCAACATCAACGTGCACCAGTCAGTTATTCTAATCAACATAATTATTTCGTGAAAATTAAATATTATAATTAACATCCTTATGCATATTACACTGAAGTTATTATATCGTTTTAACAAAAAATGTTGAAAATGTCACTCTTTTTCGTAATAATAATCATATCGGTCATCATCATCTTCTTCTTTTTAATACCCGCTACCGCTAGCGTCATCTTCGCCATCATAATAATAATCATACTCATCATCTTTCGTAAAATCCGTACGAACGGTTCCTGTTTAGACAGAGAAGTGATTGGTTACTTCATTGAGGAGTATTTAGTTTTTCATTACAGTGCATGTAAATACACGTGAAACAACGCATCACACACATTGCATGTGATGGGCGGTGATCTCTTTGTAATCGAATCGGGTCAGTGCAGAAGCAGTGCTAGGCACTTCACCGCTACACCATCGTGCCGACAATAATTTACAATGGGAACATGTTGTCAGCATCATTGTTACTGTCATTTTTACTATAGCCATCATCAGCAACATCTTCATCATCACCACCATCCCAACCATCTCCATCATCATCATCTGTACTCACTTTTGCGATTGCTTTTATTTGCATCATCTTTGTTAGATACAAATGTTCTTTTACCGTTCCCTGTTGTGAGTTTTGAAAGGTTAAAATAAACTCATTGGCTGAGCTGAACATTTAATTCCTGAAGACAGAAAGAGATTGGGTGGCAAAATTGGACATAAGAGTGAAAACTATCGGTTAATTTTGAACGACTTTCTAAACGACTTTTTTGCATTACAATCGGTTACTCTCAATTCGAATTGCAATAAAGTACATTGTTTTCCAATTATTTATTAAAATATTTGACGATAGAGATTTTATTCATTTTGAATCCAATAATTGGATACCAATGAGTTTCGTAATAATTCAACCTGATTAAAGGTAATCAAATTAATATCGGTTGATAAAAATCTCGGCCTATTGAACATTTTATTGCCAAAATTCAAACTTGAATCAGGCGTTAACTTGTATGGCATTCTGAAAATACATGACTGATTTACCCTGGGACAAAAAGACCCATAAAAAAATAAATGACATTAGGGGATTGTAGGGTAGGGTGGGGCAAGAAGCCATAGTTAAGCCTTTGATGAGTGACTACATCTAAAAAAAAGGAATATTTCTACAACATTAGTGATTATTTTACTAGATTGATGTACATGATGTCTATATAAATGGAATTTTTACCTTAACTCTAAGTATATAATGACAATTATTTTTCTGTATAATTCTTTTCGTTGAGAAAACGCAAGAATATTTTTTCACCAACAATTAATTTTAATAGGATGGCTTTAAGAGTATGAAACTTGGCCAAATCTTATTTTTCTAAGGATTCTTTTTTTATTACATTCCAGAAGTACCAACAACAAACACATAGAATGTTTGTAAAAACACAACGCATCACACACATGACATATGATAGGTGAAGATTTCTTCCGCATTTGAACCCTGTCACTTCGTCATCAGTGCCAGGCACCGACAAAATTTGTGTAGTAGTTGGGGTTGAAAATAGGAAAAAATGTTTACAAACCCATGAGACAGGAGAGTTTATGAACACCAGGAGTGCATTTGTAGGGCAATGTATCTTTCTTCGTTCCTAAATTTTTGTCCATGATTTAAGAAGTTGTCTTGTTGTTTGTGTTCTGGTTAGTGTTGTTGCTGTTGTTTGTGTTGTTGTTTGACGTTGTTGTTGTTTGGGTTGTTGTAAGGTTATGTTGTTGTTGTTGGTTGGTTGTTGTTGTTGTAAGGTGTTGATGCTATTTGTTATTGTTGTGTTGTTTGTAGTTTGTTGTAGTTTTTTTTTCACAATGGTTACAAAATTGAAAAGAGAAAATATAACATAACGTAACATAAAGTAGCATTAAGATGTACTAAAATGCACTTAGACCTTAATAGCATCAAAATGTAAAACTTCCAAAAATATAGTAAAAAAAATCTAAAATATCCTAAATAGGTAAACATTCAAAATTAGATAGCTGCTAATCCGAGCTAGATTAAGCAGCACCTAAATTAAATTAAAATCGAAATAAATAATTTTATCAAGTTTTCAAACGTTCGAGTTTGGCTGGATTAGATTGAGAAGAGACAACGAAAAGGACCAATAAGCAGAATGTCGCCAAGGTCATCATCTTCATCGCCGACATAGTGATGCCAGGAGTTTGTTAGTAATCTGAGTGAGTGAGTGAGTGAGTGAGTGAGTGAGTGAGTGCGTGCGTGAGTGAGCGAGCGAGCGAGTTGATAATTTCATGAAATAGTTGAAAATAATAGTTCTTAGGCATTAATTTTTTATGTTAAATTTAAGGTTTATAACTTTATTGCTGTCAAATTGTTAAAAATAATTATTTCGCGGAGGCCACTTTGGTTAAATCGTTGAAAATAATTACATTTTTCAAGTTAATACTGTTTTTTTTAAATAAAACTAGTCCGAAACATCTATGCGAATAAATCAAAATGTTTTTCAAAGAATGAAAAGACATTTACAAAAATTACATAAATATTACAACAGCGCACATTTCATTTAGTTTGTGGTTTTCCAACATTGGAATAATAAATTCAAAAGTAAAAAAAACTTCAACAAACCTTGCCCTATGAGATCAGCTAAACACGAGAAACTTTCAACAGCAGATGAATGGCAGATGCGTCAATAAATAGAGAATTATTTAGAGGAGATAGTTTTAGGATTGCGAATGAAAGAGTTGTAATTATTCGAGCCACTAGCTAGCAATTATTTCGTTATTGATGTTCAAACGCAATAAGGATGTCTATAATTGATCATACACACACACACACACATACACTAACAGCTATACTCACACACAAACATGCACAATCCCACACAAATGCATCTCTATACTCACAGACAGGCATTTTTCACACTCAAAAAAGTGCTGTATGCAATGTAATTGCATTTATAGACAGGATTGGGTTGAAGGATGGGTGGACAAATGAGTGACAAATGAATATATATATAATATATATATATATATATATAGTTATTAAGAAATATTTCCTCATTTTACGCATTGTTGAGTTTGTAACCAAGATTTTCAATTTTTCGAACAATTAAGACGACTAAATTGAAAAACTTAGTTACAAACTCAACAATGCGAAAAATATATATACATGCATATTTGCACAGAGTGAATGAATGAATGAATAAATGAACAAATAAATGAATCAATCATTCGATCAATCAATCAATCAATTAATCTATCAATCTATTGATGATTGATTGAACAAAAGAACGAAGGAACGATATAATTACGTTCAAATTTCTCTATAATCGCATTGAGGAAAGTCTTAACCAATGAATATTAAGTTAGGTGTAAGTATTCAAGTGTTTGTCTGCTAGTCGTGGAATGATATGGGAAAATTATTTTTATACTTTTTATTAAAATAATAATAATAATCTATATTACTGTTTTAATATTTATTATCATTATTATTGCTGGTTATTCGCAGTTATTTTATACATTAAAAAGTCAAAATGCGTTCATTCAACCGGAATACTGTGTTTCCTTACATTCATTCAATCAATCATTCATTCATTTATTTATTCATTCGTTCGTTCGTTTGTTCATTCATTCAATCATTCATTCGTTCGTTCGTTCATTCAATCATTTATTCATTTGCTCGTTCGTTTGTTCATTCATTCATTCATTCATTCATTCATTCATTCATTCATTCATTCGTTCGTTCATTCGTTTGTTCATTCAATCATTCAATCATTCATTCATTCGTTCGTTCATTCGTTTGTTCATTCATTCGCTCGTTCGTTCGTTCGTTCACTCATTCTTTAATTAATAATGTTATCAGTATATACATACCTTAGTACTTGTCAATAGCACATACATATTATAAAACATGCAATTTACTTTAAAATAGTCAGAATATCATTTGTGAATAATAAAAAAATTATGAAGGCCTAATATAATTATGGCTAAATTAATAATACGTAATAAAAAATAATCAGCAAAAGGAGTGATAAAAGCGTGATAATTAATTATAGCCAATGCAGAAATTGACGACCAACCAAATTGATGACTAAAATTATCAACCACCAATCATAATTAAGAGAAGGATGTAGCCTAAGCTGAGTGTCGTCACACAAATTACTACTTTCGAGATTACAACAAAAATTATTGTGTGTGTGTGTTGTGTATGTGTGTGTGCGTGTGTGGGTACATAATCATGTGTGTGTGTGTGTATGCGTATATTGTATATGTATGTGTACTTGTATGTGTGTGTATGTATGTGCGTGAGTGTTTACTTGTGTGTGTTATGTGTGTGTTATTAATTATTACTAACAACTCATTATTGACTTCAATTGACATGCTGATATTATATCACTTTCAAACATTTAATTAATGAATTAATAAGATAATACAATGATACCAGATACCATAGATGCATTAGTAGGATGATACAATGGTAGCAAATACCATAGATGACATAATAAGAGGATAAGAATATACCAGATACCGTATATGAAATAATATTAGGATAAGATGATTAATAGAAAGATACAATGATATCAGATACCATAGATGAATTAAGAAGATAATACAATGATAGAGTCAACATCCATCCATTCATCTGTAGTCATGTGAACACCCTTGTTGAAAAAACTTTTTTGAATTTGTTCGGATTAGCAAAAGTTTGGAATCGAACTATAGTACTCGAAAATGACCGTATAAATGTTAGTGTGTGTGTGTGTGTGTGTGTGTGTGTGTGTGTGTGTGTGTGTGTGTGTGTGTGTGTGTGTGTGTGTGTGTGTGTGTGTGACTTCTATGTGAACTTGTAACAAATATAATTTAAAAAAATATTTAATATTAATCACAATTTGTCAAAAAAAGTTTAGACCCGTATATACAACCATAGTAATTTTTAACTTTAATTTCTGCTTTTTGACAAGAAATAGGCTACGTCTGAAAATATTTTCCAAAAGCACGCGAGGCAAACTTCAAATTGAATTTTTTTTTCCTGTTATAATTATTCTTCGATGCCACCAAGTTTTATCAAATTATCCAATTTAATATCCAACGATACGGGTATTTTTGATTGATTTCACAAAATGATTTCATGATTTTGTTAAATTTATTTAAAACTTTTAAAAGAAAGAATATAGAATACGCTTTTTTTCATTATTTTCGTTATAATAATTTTTTAAACATCACTATTTCTTTATCGTTATCATCATCATTATCGTCATCATCATTATCGTCATCATCATCATCATCAATACTCCATTTTCATTATCATCATCATCATCATACTAGTGTGAAATTGATGATAAAATTATGTCTAAAAAAATTTAATTTGTAGATTTGTTTATTAATTCAGTTATTTCATTAATTCATTCATCCATTCATTCATTCTTTCATTCATTCGGTCAGTCAGTCATTTAATAGTTCGTTTATTAACAACAAATAACATTCATAAAAACAGTGAATTGAGAATAAAAAGTTTCACACAATCATAGCAATATTATCACATTAATAACAATATAATCACATTAAGAAATTTGGACATGACATCGTTAACAAAAATGCAATAACATCAACATAATCGTTATAGCACTGTTGTTATGAAATATCGAAGTAGAAATTGAACTATAGTACATGTATATTGGCTTTGGCTTGTATTGAAAAATCAGGGTGGCGCTATAGCGTAAATGGTAAAGGTGCCTGAAACTGCTGTCGCAGTGACTGGATTTGAATGCAAGGAGATCTCCGTCTATCACACGCAATGAGCGTGATTCGTTGATTTGCCTGTATTAACATAAACTGTGTGTGTGTGTGTGTGTGTGTGTGTGTAAATTTTTATGTGTGTGTAAATTTGTATGTGTGAGTAAATTTGTATTCGTGTGTATGTGTGTGTGTGTTGCAACAGCATGATCAAGCTCATCATCGTCGTCATCATCTCCTCAATAGCATCATCACATAGTCACCACCATCATCATCATCATGACATTAGCCACCACCATGCAATCAAAAATCGCCATCTTCATCACCTCCTTCAACATCTTTCACAAATTTATCCTTATCATCATCACCACCATGTTTTTTCATATTTTCTACATCATTATCATCATCATCATCATCATCGAGCTTTTCCTTACTTTTTACATCATTATCATCAAACCTCTTTTTATCATCATCATCATCATCGTCATTATCATCATCATCATCATCAAACTTTTCCATAACTTTATCAACATTATTAACATCAATATCGAAATCAAGGTCGTCATCATCATCTTCATCATCATCTTCACCATCATCTTTATCAATCAAATTGGCATCAGCAGCTGCAGTAGCCAGGCTATCAGCGTCAGCAGCTGCAGTGGCTCTTCTTACAGGCAGATCCTCGATATTATCGCTGCCAACTTTGTCAGCTTTTTGAGACTCTTCTTCTTTTCTGAAGGTGACAGTTTTTTTAGACCGGTCCCGCGATTTTGTGGTAGCAGCTTCCAAATCGTTCTCAGTCGGAATGGCCGCGATTATCCTTTCCACCTCTGTTTCCTCTTCGAAGTCGATTTTGTTGAAATCTTCTTGAAAGATATCTTCAAGGTTTGCTGGTGTATGTGTGCGTGTGTGTGTTCGTGTGTGTGTGTGTTTGTTGATAAGTTATTGTGTTTGGTGATAGAGTCGCGAAGGGTAGTTGTTAGCGGTTTCGACAAAATGAACAACAAATGCAGTTCAAAAGAAAAAATTTAAAAATCAAATTTATAAACGAAATAAGAGTCACACACGCCGATAGAAATACCGACACAAACCAACCGTTGTGATCGCTCCTGGTTCCAGCTTTCAAAGCGACAGTCATGGTGGACATGAATGAGAGGACGAAGAGGACCACAACAACGACGCTGACGATCGTGAAGGTCTGCTGCTGGCTGTCTCGCGACGCGATGAGGCGGGTTTTTCGGCGATCCAACTTTAAAAATCGTGTCGAAGCTAGTTGTGCGGTTGGTTGGATGGATGTGTGTGTGTGAATGTGTGTGTGTGCGTGTGTGTAGGTGTGTGCGTGCGTGTGTATCTCAGAGCAAACGCATCAACAACACACATAGCTAGCTGGCTTAGTTTAGAAACACGTGAATCGGCGCATCCAATATTGCAGGTGAGCGATGATGGGGATCTCTGCGATCGAACCCGGTCACTACAACAGTAGTGAACGGACATCTTAACCACCACGCCATTGCGCCGCCCAAAATTGTTTATATGACGAAATGACGTCACACAACAAACAGTTAGAAATGTTTTCGCTGTCCATCCAGTTGGGTTCCAGGGAACAGATGATGACCGAGCCATTCCTACTCACGTTGAACTCTCCAGAAGTAGTCTGATGATGGAGAAGATGATGATGAAGATGATGGTGAAGATGAGAAGGATGGTGAAAGTGATGATGATGAGAATTATGATGACGATGACGATGATAGTGAGGATGATGATGACGATGCTGATAATGACATCAAATACAGCGGTGTTAATAAAAAACACTTATAAATTATATTTTTATTTTGATTAGGGTGATAGTATAACGGTCAAGATGCCTGGCGCTTCTGTCGCTGCGACTGAGTTCGAATGCAAAACGTTCTCTACACATCACAAACAATATATGTGTTGCATGGAATGGATTAACGCGTATTTAAGCAAAAAAAAAACTAAAACTAAAATTGCAAAAACAATTGTAGCACCAGTAGGATGCTGGCGTTATCATATCTCGATCTGTTGGTAATAGCAGGGAGGACCTCGTAAGATTTCATAGAAAAGGATTTCTGGCTGAAGTACTCGAACCAGTCGAAGTGGAAAGCAAAGAGATTCATGTTCTGGTGCTCGTTCTTCATGGTGCGTAACTTGCAGATGTAAAATATGGAGATGTCTGGCTCTATGGGGCCTGATGATGAGATCTCTATGGTCACTTGTGGTGCTGTGTGTTCAGGTTGGTTGGTTGTTTGTTTGTGTGTTTGTTTGATTGTGTGTTTGTTTTTTATTTTGAGTATGTTTTTGTTTGTTATTTTCGTACGTTTGCATGTATGTTTGTTTTTTATGTTTGTTTGTTTCTTATTCTGTCAGCTGTTTACCACTGATTACAATTTCGGTTGTCATGAAAAATTTCAAAAAGATTCTGTTATTTGATATAACGGTTTAAAAAATTGAGTTACCAACAAGACGAACCAAAATATATATCGCTATTTAAAGCACTTCTTAGCTAAGTAAAGTTCTATCAGTCAGTCAGCCTGAAAGTTGAAAGTTTCCAAAATATACATAAATATATAAACATATGTGTGTGTGTTTGTGTGCGCGTCTATGTATGTACGTACATACATGTATAAGGTTCATGATCATAAATTAACATTTGCATATGAAGTGCTGGTTGTGTAAAAAGTTAAGAAACACCATTAAAACAATGAGAACATTGCCCCACATAAATTACTTCGTCTGATAAAGATGAATGGGTAGAACAAAAAAAACTGCAAAAAAAATGAACCATGATCTAAAGGTTTTACTTAGAGCAATAAATAATGGTTTGTACACATACTTATAAATAAACTAAATCATAAAGCATTGACATGTCCAAAATCTGCACCAAATATTGTAAATATTCCATTGGAAAGATTTTGGAAAAGTTTGTTTTGAAATAAGTGCGTGATTATTCATCTCCAAAGAATCTCCATTAGTAAGAACATCGTAATGAAAAATGTAGTTGTTTTTAACAATAATAAAAAACAACAATAATGAGATGAAAAAGAAAAAATATAAAATAATAATAATAACAAATAACATAAAATTATGGTGAAAACGTTAACATTGAAAAAAAAAACATAAATAAAAGTAACAACGATTAATGGTGGGGAACTTAAGGGCTTAAACCCCGCCACACAATCAGAATTTTGCTAATGTCCAGAGTTGAGGGTAAACTGAACAAAAACTCTATAGAGTTATTTCAATTAACTTTAGGCCTTCCTCCCACCGACACAGCAAATAACAAACAATGATGATACGGCAATTATTGGGATTTAGTGATAATATAATGCAATGGTAACATGTAACATTTTTGGTAACACATTTCGACAGGCACCAAATTATCATTCTCACTACCATCATCATTTGATGATGGTAGAGATGATTTTTAATGAATTACATTTAATTTTAAGATATTCTTGAAAATTTAATGGCTTGAGTTTTTGCCGAAAAGATTAAAAGACCGAAATATAAATATCGTTTGGTTAATATCATTTGGTCGTTTTGGTTCTGACCATTACAATTCTATTTGGCTTCCGGTCGAAATTTGCAAAATGAGAAAAATATGATCAAAACCTCGTAAAAACATGATGAAAAGATGACAACAGAATGATAAAAATAAGACCTACATTTCGTCTCAGAATCATCATCAGCTCCACTATCATCACTAACAGGAGAGGCATCGCCATCGGGGTCACCACCCCCACCGGACCATCCGGGGATCGTGAGTAGAAAAAGAACCGTTACGATTTGACGAGTAAATATCATAACAAGTTATACCACGTTTGGATTAAATTTCACATATTTTTCACATATAAATACATAAAAATTAATTCGATTTATTCAAAAAGGTGAATTATTTTTCAAAATTTGGTAATTCTTATTTGTTTTTGTTTAGTTTTGATAATTTTTAATTAATTAATTAAAATTATTTCGATTTTTATTCTGCGTGCTTTTTTTTGGTTGAATGCGAATGTTTATTGTTTTGAGATCTTTGCACGTAAACACGGTGCATTCGCGCTGAAAGAAATTATTTCACGTTTGTCTGAACGTTTGATATCAACGAAGCTCAGAAATTTTATTATTACATATACGCTTATGAATGAATATATATATATATATATATATAGAGAGAGAGAGAGAAGATATAGAAAAGGGAGATAGAGAGAGGGAGAGAAAGAAAGAAACCAATTGGACATAATGTTTTTGTTAATTGCATTCAGCATGGGATTGAATAAGTAAATTGTCATATTCATTCACATTGATTACCGTTAATTTCTTACCTTCAAGAGAGCTTGAAATAGCACGACTTGCTGTTATATTACGTGTTTTTCATAAGAATTGATCTGATGAATGAATTTACGAATTACTTTTCAAGCGTTTGGATCAATTTTTCACATTCGATCAATTTCTTCCACTGGTTTAGTTCTAATTAATGGACGTTAATTGAGAAAATATTGAAAATTTATTAAAAAAGACGGAAATTAAAAGTAGATAATTTTTTTCAATATTCAATATTTTACCGAAATTCCAGTATGACATACGGAATGAAAGTTTGGCTAGGACCGACCATTTATATGTCAGCTTCTTTCATTATGAAGAACAACTTGACATGAAGATAAATATAAAGTAATTTGGTAATTTGATTGAAATTCATAATCTACTAAATAAACGAACACGGGCAGCGAAAAATTATTGAAACAAGTATATAACATAACCATTTAACATATGATAAATGTTTCCAATTTTAAGAAACATCTTCAAAAAGTTGTTTTCAAATAAAGTTTAAAAAAAGTATTGTTTTTAATTACTACTGTCTGACATCAATATTTTTAGCAAACGCACAATTCACAAACAAAACTGCCATAACCGTTTGATGCCACAGCTTTTATAGCATTCGAAACTTTTTCAGAATTTAATTTCCAATTTTTCAAGGTGAAGTGAAACATTCCATTCAGATGATCGATGCTGTAGCCATCGAGATCAATTAGACCTCTGTAAGTTAATTCTTTCACTATTTGAACGCCATTAATTTTCAACTCCTGTTTGATGGTTTCAGAAGTAAGGAAGGGAGCAGCTCCAAGTTGCTCCATCAATCCAACAATGGCGTTGTCTCCGTGGGCATTGGCGAATACCAACTGCCCGTTTATTGGGTCCAGCCATCGATTGAAGCACGTGTCGTACAGTCGGCTTCGATCTCCGCTGTTCAGGAAATAAATCACATGAAACGCTATAAAAACATCTATTTTCCCGTTTAATAAATCCATCTTCTTTTTTGCGGCTATGTCATGAATATTTTCTTTACTAACGTAGTTGTTGTCATCATCGTCTGATTTTTCAAACAAGTCCACAAAATTTTCAACTTTCATTTCAAAAATTTCGAGAGTCAAATTTCCATGAAAATGTTTCTTAAAATTCGCTTCGAGTTCTTTAGCACAGTCTCGATTGGGTTCGACTGCAATGAATTCCTTCAACTTGGAAAGACACTTTTGAATGAACTCAATATCGAACTCGCCACAACCAGTTCCAATCGACAAACATGTAGTTGCCTCTTTAAACTGAGAATTGTTCGTTGCTAGCTCGTGTAAGGAGCTGGAAAACAATTTCATCTCGTTGTGCCGATCTCTAAATATCCTCAGAGCCGTCGGGTAGGAAACACCCTTCTCCATTCTTCTCTACTGCCAGATAATCTTCTAATTATTTCGTAAAATAAAATATATTATAAATTCTTCAAAAAATTATTTTACAATTGTCGTAAATATATGAAAATAAATAAAAACCATTGTAAGCTCTTATATAACAAAATGAAATATATTCAAAATATTTATCTCCATCCATTTTTTTACATAAGTAGTAGGCCAATCAGAGTGGAATGTTTATTTAAATATTTAATATAAACCAGACAGATGAAAAAACAATCTTTGCAATGACATATAATTATCAATATTTTCAGTGAAATTAATTTAAAAACTTTTGTCGAAAAATTTTGTGACACAAATCCGACATTATCTTTTCGCCAACCTAATATTTTCAACTGTTGAACACTTCAATTCCAATAATAACGATGTCGATGAACTGATGAACAAGTAGGATATTTTTATTAGAGGATCACATAGCCACAAACAACTTTAATTATAATTTTCTATTAAAAATAAACAAAATATGGTAAGAAAGTTGAAAAATCAATTTTTGAGATTCGTTGCAAACTATTTAGTTACTATTAACCCTGTTAAATAATTTTAATTAATAATTCATTAAATGAAAAAAAGTTAAATCACCTCAAACACTGCCTAACAGCTGCAAACTAAACTAAAGATTCGCAATTTCGTGAATATATATATGAAAACTAATTACAACTATGGTAATCTACTTGCTGCATATACGCTTATATAATGAAGTAATAACAAAAGACCATTACACAGACAACCACACACTCACACACAAACAAACACGTACACACGCACACGCACAAACACACACATAAATGTATGTACATATGTAATCAAAATAATATGTCTATTTTTTTTAGCTAATATGACTGCAGTTCATAATAGCAAGGCTGTTCACACAATTGTTTGTATTGTTTATACACAACCAGGCTTCTAAGATTCCAGGATTGAATTAAATTTAATCGTCAACAACTTTACAAATTAAACTTGTTGACTTACAGAAAGCAAAAACCAAGTGTACCTTCGGTGATTAGCTTACAGGATGAGTTCGTTAGCATCAACAGCAGACGTCAACAAAAATGATTACAACTATTTTGGCGCCATCATCGGATGATTACGAGATGACATCAGAAGCGATATCGCTCTAATGAAACCATCTAACATTGATGAGTTATATCAAGCAGCAAAAGATTACGACATACCCAACATTCACTCTGATGTGTTTAGAAGAATCCATTTACAAATTAAATTCTCAAACAGTGCTAATAACAATTTTCAAAACAATGATCGAGCTTGTAAATCACGCTTTAACGATGGTAAATACTGTAATGAATTTAGACGCAGCAATAGTAATTTTAGCAACTCTCCTACAATGAGATTTCGTAATAACAGTAGACAACGTTTGTTTTCAGTGCCGAGTGAGAGGAGTAACAACCAAACAAATAACTATACCACCTAACAAAGAAACATTATTTTATGCACTTAATTATAAGCAGACATACAAATTGGGACCAATTAAATCACCAAAACAGCATTATACATTTGAACCTATTAACGTTATACATCTGTTAAATAAAACAGTTTATATTAGGCCGGCCATATACTAGCATAGCAAAAGTAGAACATTTTACTACACTTAATACTGAAGACAAAACGAAACACAGCGGATAGTGCAAAACAACATCAATCAATGTCAGTTTAACTCTTTATAAAAATCATCTTTATTGTTGTCATCACCTCACTTTGTTATAAAATTATGAAGATATAATTACAGTTTTAGGTTTGATAATTGAAAAAAATTCCCCCTAGATTTTTTTCTTTTTCACCTTCTCAATTTTTTTTTTATTTTTACCATTCTTTCTATCATTTCTTTTGCTTCTTCCTTTCTGTAAGTTCAACGTTTCATTTGTAGAGTTGTTGACGATTAAATTTAATTGAATCCGATGTTGAACTCATTTCTTAGGAGCCTGGTTGTGTTCAAACAAACAAACAATTTTGTAAGCAGGCTTGCTATTATGAACTGCTGTCATATTGGCTAAAAGAAATAGACATATTAATTTGATTACATATGTACATATATGTGTGTGACTGTGTGTGTGTTTGTGCATGTGCGTGTGTTTGTGCGTGTGTGTGAGTGGGTGGTTGTCTGTGTAATGGTTTTTTGTTATTACTTCATTATATAAGCGTATATGCAGCAAGTAGATTACCATAGTTGTAATTAGTTTTCATATATATATTCACGAAATTGCGAATCTTTAGTTTAGTTTGCAGCTGTTAGGCAGTGTTTGAGGTGATTTAACTTTTTTTCATTTAATGAATTATTAATTAAAATTATTTAACAGGGTTAATAGTAACTAAATAGTTTGCAACGAATCTCAAAAATTGATTTTTCAACTTTCTTACCATATTTTGTTTATTTTTAATAGAAAATTATAATTAAAGTTGTTTGTGGCTATGTGATCCTCTAATAAAAATATCCTACTTGTTCATCAGTTCATCGACATCGTTATTATTGGAATTGAAGTGTTCAACAGTTGAAAATATTAGGTTGGCGAAAAGATAATGTCGGATTTGTGTCACAAAATTTTTCGACAAAAGTTTTTAAATTAATTTCACTGAAAATATTGATAATTATATGTCATTGCAAAGATTGTTTTTTCATCTGTCTGGTTTATATTAAATATTTAAATAAACATTCCACTCTGATTGGCCTACTACTTATGTAAAAAAATGGATGGAGATAAATATTTTGAATATATTTCATTTTGTTATATAAAAGCTTACAATGCTTTTTATTTATAATCATATATTTACAACAATTATAAAATAATTTTTTGAAGAATTTATAATATATTTTATTTTACGAAATAATTAGAAGATTATCTGGCAGTAGAGAAGAATGGAGAATGGTGTTTCCTACCCGACGGCTCTGAGGATATTTAGAGATCGGCACAACGAGATGAAATTGTTTTCCAGCTCCTTACACGAGCTAGCAACGAACAATTCTCAGTTTAAAGAGGCAACTACATGTTTGTCGATTGGAACTGGTTGTGGCGAGTTCGATATTGAGTTCATTCAAAAGTGTCTTCCGAAGTTGAAGGAGTTCATTGCAGTCGAACCCAACCGAGACTGTGCTAAAGAACTCGAAGCGAATTTTAAGAAACGTTTTGATGGAAGTTTGACTCTCGAAATTTTTGAAATGAAAGTTGAAAATTTTGTGGACTTGTTTGAAAAATCAGACGATGATGACAACAACTACGTTAGTAAAGAAAATATTCATGACATAGCCGCAAAAAAGAGGATGAATTTATTAAACCGGAAAATAGATGTTATTATAGCGTTTCATGTGATTTATTTCCTGAACAGCGGAGATCGAAGCCGTCTGTACGACACGTGCTTCAATCGATGGCTGGACCCAATAAACGGGCAGTTGGTATTCGCCAATGCCCACGGAGACAACGCCATTGTTGGATTGATGGAGCAACTTGGAGCTGCTCCCTTCCTTACTTCTGAAACCATCAAACAGGAGTTGAAAATTAATGGCGTTCAAATAGTGAAAGAATTAACTTACAGAGGTCTAATTGATCTCGATGGCTACAGCATCGATCATCTGAATGGAATGTTTCACTTCACCTTGAAAAGTTTGAAATTAAATTTCGAAAAAGTTTCGAATGCCATAAAAGCTGTGGCACCAAACGGTTATGGCAGTTTTGTTTGTGAATTGTGCGTTTGCCAAAAATATTGATGTTAGACTAATTTTCAATAAAAGAAATATGTTGTTTCAACTTTATTAAAAAGCATTACATTTTCAATGAATTTTTCTTAATAACACATTTTGAAGATACCTTTTAAAATTTGTAACAATTACCAACATTATCGTAGTTTTATGTTAAATGTTCATATACATGTTACAATAATTTTTTCTTATTCGCTGCACTGTACGTGCTAATTTATGCAGTACTATAGATTAATAAATCAAGTATTCGTAAAGACAGAATTTTTCGTTAAAACTGTTTCAGTAGGCAATCATTTCAAACAAAACATTCTCATGCTACAAACAATCGTTTAACCAGCATTCATTCATTCACCCATTCATTCATTCGTCTTTTCATTCATTCATTCATTCATTCATTCATTCATTCATTCATTCATTCATTCATTCATTTTAACTCGACGCTGAGTTGGCTGGAAATACTGTTCTGTCCGAGTCAAACGTTTTCAAAATGGTATCTGGTTGGTTTCTTCCAAGGGTTATAAATGTACGAATCCATTAAAGACATTGTTGCAAAAAAACTTATGAATTGCATTTCAAATAAAAACACCAAAGTTAAAAGTGTATTCACATTTATTTTGGACTCTTGGCTTGCGCTTCGATACCCCGGTCACTCCTTCACTTCACGAAGGCCTGCCATTGTCACAGTAATTTTACTCTATCTACTTTATTTTGATTATGTGTTGATATCATCCAATGTGCGGATGCGATCGCCTGGAATTGTTCGTGGTTAGAAGATGCTCCAATCATGGGCTGCTCCTTCACGAGCAACGTCAATTATAGTTAAATGAAAATTGAATCGACACTTTGAGAACTTTTAACAAGCGCGTTATAAATTCTTTCACTTCTACTAATACTAATAATATTAATAATACATGTAAATATATTGTGTATAATAGTGTTTGTTATTATTTTACGTTGTAACCCATCTGTATTGCAACGCGACTCTATTCAAAAGCTGTTAATGGCTGTCCACAATGAGGCTGTAGTTTACGGTTTTTTATTTCTCACTTAACATGTGTCTTCAATCTTCAATTCATTTACGTTCATTGTTGTCACGAACTTCCAATTGTTTCTCATCAGTTTCATTAAGTGAGGAATTCGCAGAGTAGCATCTGGGGATAAGAGTAGAGTAGTTCAGTCGAAGTAGTTTCAAATCTTCAATTCTGGACCAAACAGTCTAAAAATTATTGATAAAACGTACTAACTCGTTAATTTATTGAAAACTTGTTTAAAATTAATTTGTAAATAATATTTTAGATAAATCATTTCTCCTAACCCAACAAATTAGTAAATCAAAAAATAAAAACTCAAAAATATAACCAAGGTGTTATAGAACGACTCAACTGAAGAAAGACTATAAAATTTTATGAAAAAAAATCTACAGCTGCTAAATTTTGAATTGGTTATTTGGCTTGATTTAAATCAAACAATGCTTCTTAACACAAAAAATTTAATCACCTTTGAAATTTAACACAAATTTTTATGCTAAAGTAAATTAAATATAGTTATGTCATCACCAAAATTTTTAATTAATACAAGTTACATCAAATTCCGCTTAAAATGTTTTATGGGCACGTTTTAAATGCCAGACACTCTTTTAAATCTTCCAGAATGTGCCTGCAGAAAAAATCGATTCTCTTCTGAACCGCTAAAGGTCAAGGTTGAAGGTCAAAGATGGACGCCGCAATGTTTTTCAGAGCTATCAACAACAACATTTTTTTGGATGTAAACCAGGCACTCTACAAATTGCATATAATAAATAAGTTGGGAGGTCGTTTGATTTGAATTAGGTAACAACAAAACCGGACCAAGTGTCTCTAACCATTACGCTACCAGGCAGCTATCTCAATGTCTTTCATTGATTTGAAGCACTTGTCGAAGGTAGTATTTCTATCGCCCCAACCCCCTTAGAAAGAACGATGTTTGAAAATTTACGGTCACCCATCCAAATTGCTGACCGCAATCAACTAACAAGTTAAGCAATGATGGAAATAAATAATAAAACGCTTATTATTGATTTATTTGATTGCTTTTCTCATTGTCAAGAATTGTGAAGAAATAAGTAATGAGAGCTACTCAAGGTGCTTGCTGTGGTTTTCTTATTTATTGATATCCAACGTTGAAGAGTTATGCTGGAAAACTACTAACTCTTCTACATCTATAACATGATCGATTCATTTCGTTCTGATGAAAATACAAACATTGAAAAACCACAATAGTACAAAGATGCCACAAAAGTTTTTTCTTAGTAGCTATCCTGATTTTTTTTTTATTTGACATCCATATCAAAATACAGTCAGTGATACGAGTTGATTGTTTGTTCGTGCTTTTTCGACAGTGCCAGACTGAAAAAGAGAAAGAAGAAATTAATTGAGAATGCAACTTTTAGTATCTTAATTTTAAAATAATTTAATTTAATTTTCGATAACATAGCCAAATTTTGAACAAAACACACACACAGGCACGCACACACACACACAAAGAGAAAATTTCTTTAATGTTATTCACTTCATTTAATCCAATCATGAAAAAATGTAATTCTACATTTTTTCTTACAAATTTAAAACTTTAGTCAGTCAAAAATGTGACCGGTGCGCTACCCTAATTATTATTATCATTATTAACGTAATAATAATAATTATTATTTTGCAGATTATTATTATCATTATCAACATATTTATTATTATTATCATTAACACTATTTATGAATGGCGTTAGTTTTAAATAGGGAAAATTGTGTTGTGCTATACATATACATATTATCGTTACAACTCACCAAAACTTTAAGCACGATAAATTATTATCATTATTTTATTATCATCACCAATAGTAGTAGAATTATTATTATTCTTAAATATTATTATTATTCCTTAATTGGTAAAAGTTTCATGTGCAAGCGATTTATGATGAATACTACCTAATCATTCATTGGAGCAGCACTGTATTCAAGAGCTTTCTATTGTTAAGGACACAAGGAAGAAATTTTATGTTTAGTTAACTGTTTGTTTCTCACATAGTTATCTTCAAATTCTGTTTCTTCAAAATATGAATTATTCTATTTACACTTTTATATTTTAATTTATCAATTCACTTCTAGAATATATGGGTGTTTAATAGAGCTTAATTCACAACGAATTTACTGTTTTGATAGAATCTTGAATGGAATAAATTTTGAGTGTTATTTTTTGGTGGACTTATTTGCCCTAACAAATTAAAAAAATTGTGAATTCGATTTGAGTCCATTTCGATAGATTTTGTTTAATTGAAAAACAAGAATTTAATTAACAATTATAAATAAATAAGTATTTAACATTTGAAATTCATCTAAGAAAATTTCGATAAGCGAGTTCAAAAATTATCTGTTTTCAATTATAATATAACTATAAAAATAATATAATAATTTTCGACATTAAAGTTCATTGTTCTTGGCTTAAATCGGCACACATCAAAAAACTCAATACCCCCAACATCAGCCATCAATCCTAGCAACAACTAACCTTACATTAACAACGTCGAAAACACACACATACACACAAAAGAACATTAACTGAATCAATCAAACATCAACAAGACTTACAACAATTAATAATAACATCAATAGCATCAACACAACGTAACATTAACATCAACATTAACGTAAATACCAATGTGAAAAACTCGAAAAATCCATACCTACAGACATTTGTGGACCTTTTCTGGGATATTTTTGAATTGAACGCAGCGTGAAAATTAACTTTTTTTAATGGAAGGAAGGGATCTCGGTGAATTTTTTATTTAAACCATTCTGTTTTTTTAATATTTCATAAATATTTGTTTATGTGCGTGTGTGTGTGTGTGTGTATGTGTGTGTGTGTGTGTGTGTGTGTGTGGTGTGTGTGTGCGTGTAAATATTTCATTTTAGGGTATTTTATAACTTATTTTTCTCCTCCAAAAAGAAAACTTATAAATGAAAAGAGTTCACATTTTAAATAAATATCTTAAAATGGTCCAGAATTTTCAAAAATAAATTGGAGACTTTTATTGCCTTAAAATGGTCCAGAATTGTTAAAAATAGAATCGAAGTAAATGGAAGACTTGAAGTTTCATTAGGAAACGATTAACGCTAATCTTGAAACCAATCAATCAATCAATCAATCAATTAGCTTATAAAGCGCTATTTCCGCGATGTTCAACAGCGCTCCTCAATGAATTTTGAAAACAGATGGGTCTTGAGATCCGCTCTGAACTTCGCAAGCGATGGAGAAATAGTTAGAGAAGTAGGCAGAGAGTTCCAGAGAAAAGGACCAGAAAAAGCAAAAGCAGATTTGGCAAAAGAGTGTTTAACACGAGTTAAGAAAAAGCGAGAAGAAGAAGACGATCGTAAACCGGGGCGTTTAGGTTCAATTAATATATCTGATAAGTACTTAGGAAATAATTTAGATTGAGACTTATACATGAACGTGCAAATTTTAAAAATTATTCTATATTTTATAGGTAGCCAGTGCAAGAGAACAAGATATGGAGGTATATGAGAAA